CGTTTGCCATCTTTTAAAAGCTTTTCTAGCTCAATTTTAATTATCAGATGTACAAGCTTAACGTGATCAGTGTCCAAGATAAGGAAGTGTCACACTCCATCTTTGAACTTGTGAAAGGTTTATTCCTCCAAATGCTACACAATTATCCCTAGACACTAAACGGATGCAATTTCACAAGGAAAACTAAACGTAGTGTGATTAAAATGTATATAATGGCAAAATGCATGCCAAGTAAAACGTGTATATACTCAAGTAGTACAATGTTTTGTTTCCGTGCACCTCAGATCTGCCGTGTGCAGTCACAGGGTTTCAATTCATTATAAAATAAATATACATATGTATCCAAATCTTGTACTAATTTTATACTACTACTTCTGCACTGAATTTCAGAGGTCAATATTGTACTTTTTTTCTCCAAGACATGGTGGCTATTGAGTAGTTCCTAGTTCGTTTCCAAATTAAGATTTTTACATACAAAACCAACTAATATCTGAAAGATATAATGTATTGTAGATCTAACAACCCCCATGGTATACACATTAGTTATTTGCGCCACCTTGACCAGTCACATTAGAATACTAATGCATCACTAATAATACACGCCATTCTGTATTAAACAAACGAACGAATGACTGTATCCTTCAGGTGCGCCTCTGTAAACACGTCAGTCAGGTGGTTCTTAGTTGGTCACGATTCAGTGGTGGGCGGGGTTTGGGCAGCGCTGTGGAGGCTCGAGGCTCAATAGGTTCAACACCTACGGAGTACCTGTCGCAGATTTGGACAAAATAAACTGAACACCAACTCTACTGAAAGATGAGAACGTCTTTGGCAGCTTCTTTTATTTTAGCTTTAGCATTGATACATCCTATCAGCATGTCGGTAAGTCAGTTTCAGTCTGTTTTCAACAGTGTTGACGTCAAGTGAATCTCGTGCTTAATTTTCTCACTTCCTCATGTTGGCTATACTACTGTACAAAGGTGTGTTTACTTTTACGATCGTATTGTTTATTGGGCTTTAAAGTGACCTTTATTTAATGTAGAATAGTCGAATTTGTGGTCATTTGATTCCCTTTTATTTCAATAATGGTTTTTAACATTTATTCAAGAAGTATTGGTGTGACAGGTGTCAGAGATAAAATATTGTACGCAGAGAATTGAAGATATTAATGATAAAAGCGTGTGTCTGCAGAGGGAATCACACTAAACTTTTTATGAATTTTACAACTCTTACCAAAATCACCTAATGGCTTTTTTGTCTTATTTATCTTACTAGGGAGGAAAATGCCTCATTGGCACTGGTGGATGTATGTGAGGAGAAACACCAAAATATAAAATGTACTACAAGTAAAAATCCTGCATTCAAAGTTACCGAGATAAAAGTACATACAATAAAAAGTACAATATTTCCAATTGTGGTAAAAGTACTGAAGATACTTTAGTAAAAGTAGCAACACCACAATATACAAATACTCCACTACAGGTAAAAGTCCTGCACTCAAATCAAAAGTATAAGTACAGAACTATTTACAAGGAAAATATGCTTCAAGTATCAAAAGTAATCATTATGCATACAGTACATGTTGCCCAATAAATTGTCATGCAGTGTTGTATTTAATTCAATGATTAATGCTGATGTCTTCAAATCGCTTGTTTTGTCTGACCAACAATGCAAAAACCACAGATATTCAATTCATGATATAAGACTAAATCATCACGCTGTAAGATCTGGAATCCGAGAGTTTGTGGTGTCTTTGCTCAACAAATGGTTCAAATGATAAATGGCTTATTAAAATTGTTGATTCATTTTCTGTAATTTGACTTCATTGATTCATCAGTTATCTCAGCATGCAATAGACAAGAGACAATTTCCAGCCTGAGTGGCCAGTCTATCACAGGGCTAACAGACACACACACACACACACACAAAACATTCACACCTGTGGAAAAGTGAATCTTGCATCCATGTCTGTGGTCTGGGGGAGGAAACTCATGCAAACATTTGGGAGAAACAAACCTCGGATCCATTTCAAGTTAAACACAAGATTCACTGCGTCCCCTTAAGCATTAGTGCTGCCTGACAGATGTTTCCAGCTGTTAGCATTGTTCGTGTGCACAACTACAGCTGGGCGGCACAGACGTTATGGATGCAACATAGTAATGTCCCCCGGTCCAGGAAGTACCTGAGGCACATTTTATTTGCTGGCAGGGTTTTAACAGTATGACGGTTCAGATTGAGAGCCTTTAGGTTTGAGTAAGTAGCAGTACTCCATTTTCCAAAACAAAGGTTTTTATTCCTCCACCACTCTTCACCTCATCGCAGCTTTATATATTTAATGCAATGCATACGGGCATACAGGCCATTTAGTCCCTATCAATGAGTTTAGCTTGAGAATATTCAGTACAGTTTTCAAATAAGTGCCTCGTGTTTAAATAATAGTATTCTAATGAATCATTTACTTGAAGAGAAGTTTTTGTAAGAGCTTTTTTACTTTGTGTTAAGCTGCTACACAGTACACTAAACGCTGAAGGTGTTGAGTCCAAACAACAGATTGTGTGTTCTCTTACCTTCACTGTTTTGCCAAATGGGTGGAGTGACTTTACCATTTAATTCAAGCTCTATTCTCGACTGATTACACTTTATTGGTAATAACAATGGCGTCATTCTGGGTTCGTCAGCCCCAGTGTGCTTTTGAGGCTGTGTTGCTTCAGTGGGACTTTGTATCGAAGACATGATTCATTTCTTTATTGTCCTCTTAAGGAAAGTACCTTTTACAGGCTTCCTTCACCTCTTGTCTGTGTTTATATATCTGATAATAAGACAGGAAAGAGTATTGTGGTGGTCCGCATATCTAAATGCCCTCATCCCCTTTTCTCCATGACCTTAGTTTTCTGCCCGTCCTGAGGACTTAGAGGGATCAGGATATGAATTGGACAGTTATGGCTCTGGTTCAGGGGATTGGTCAGGACAAGGTAATGCTGAGTACTATGCACAATGACTGTTAAATGGTTATAATCCACTTAATATTGCATCCGTTGTTCTTGTCATTATTTTTTCCAATAAAACACACAACATATGCCATGCTCTCTGTCTCAGGTGAAACAGAAAACATCAAGGATCAACCCAACAGCAAAGGAACCAAGAATACGTCCCATGTATGGTTGTTTTCACAAGTCTCATTATTTCTTCACCTTATAATATAGATGGCAAAGCAGGAAATAACGTTTTGCAACTGTTCCTACTTTTGTCTTCAGGGTTCTCCGGTCCTGAACTTCGACGGTACACACAATGACGGCGGATCAGGATTTGTCGTTCTCGCAAACAGCAAGAGTTTCTTGGAGAACAAAGACATCTTTGCCGGTACTTTGCAGTATACGTTGAATAAAGAGTGATATACTGTGTGTTTGTATTCTAACTCAGTCATTTATGTTTACAGCTGTTATTGCAGGAGGAGCAATAGGAGTGGCACTTGCAGCTGCAGTTGCAGCACTATTAATCTACACGTGGAAGAAGAAAGATAACGCAGGATACATTCTGGGTCAGCAGAGGGCTTCAGATGGAGACTATCACAGACCCAACAGGGAGGTCGTTCTTGTTTAACTTCAAACTTTAACAACAATGTTTGTGTTCTAAGGCCAATGTCTGTAACTTGGGAACTACTGTAAATGTGTTATTATCTCGTATTTTTTGGGGGGGAGGGTGGGGATGAGAAATGACAGTTATACTTGCACTTAATGGAAATGTATCTGCAGTTGTTCATTGATAATTTATTTATATTTATGATGAAGTATAAGAAGAGTCTTTATTTACTATCTATCAATCAGGTGTAGTCAGCAGATGTATATGATCATTTTTGACTTGTGGTTGTCTGGTTGAAAAAAGATGGTTATAGATGCAATATGTGATTAATTAATTATCAATCTTGTATGATAGAAGTTGCAATATTATTGTTTTAAAGTGGCATTATGCCCACATTTTTGTAACATTTAAAATGAAGATGACCAATAGTCACTTTACAAGAACTGTTTTGTACAGCAAATACTTGAAAGCCTTTTTTCATGGAAGACATTTTGATGTCAAAGTAGGAAAATCACAGGTGTAAAACATGCAATTACCAATGACTGAATACCATTTAGCTGCTTAGGTTTTGGGGTCTGGGTCTGATGCGTGGATGAGCAGTTACCAATAATGGATGGATAGATATATTCCATGAAATGATATTTACTATTTTTGTATTATATAATTGTCAATAAATTTGCTTTACAACTTTTAACCCTTAACGCTTTTTTGTTGTTTTATTTTATTTTACGAGTGTATATTGAGAGCATAAGTACAGTTTGTTTAAACTTACGTATAACAATGAGAGGATATTATGTACATGCTATTGCATCGTGTGTGTGTTATCGTGTAATATATAGTACAGTAAGATGATTAAGTATTGCAGTGGGGGTTTTTTTAGGAATCAATCTGACATTACATAGCTAATTTAAGTGTTTAGTGATGATATGTGGAAATGGTTTATTATCTATTATCAGAACTCCCAAGGGGCCACAGGACCTGTGGGCCCCCGCTGACCCAGCATCTCTTCCTCCTATTCTTGGTGCATTGTGTATATGTATATTAGTTGGTCATTATTAATAACTTTGCTGTAAGGTGATCAAGTAAATGCACCATTTAACATGGTTTTACCTCTTGGTCTCGAGGTTAGGTAAATTATGCAAGTGTTGCCCTATAATTTTCTTTAGCAGTATTAAACACATATTATTGCAAACTAAATGCCCCATTAGTCCACCTGAAGATCTGGTACCCTGGGACAATATGGTAAATCAGCCATACAAAAAGCTTAATTTAAATGGCCCTGATTTTCATCATTTCAGTTCCATCATGGCCTGAAGCCTATTGGGTTTACTCGGAATGTCTCCACGGCCATTGGCTCAAACTCCTGTCAGTCAAAAGTAACCTTCTGGTCCCCGCCCTTTCCTGCCCGTCAGAGCGTTTGTTTTTATCACCGGCGTCGCACAGGTTGTCAAGGAAGTGGTGGGCGTTCCTCCTGTGTTAGTTCGCAGACTGTTGATGCTGAGACGATTATTTCTTGTCCACGATAAGCTCTCCCGATGTTTCTTCCTACGCTTGTGGAGGACATGCATCACTTTAAGCCCAGTCGAGACAGACTGTACACCACCAGGTGTTGTGGATGTTGCCACGTTCGCACGGGGACCATCATCCTGGGAACATGGTACATGGTGCGTAAAATGGTTGATGGAGCTAAGCGAGCTAATGCTAGCTAGCACTGCCTATCAACTCTGTTAAAGTCCTTAAAGTACATAGTTACACACTGTATATCAGCTATTATATATCATGTAGATATGACGACTGTTGTCGGCAACTCCAATGTTAGCTAGGCGCAACTTTTTTTTGTCTGATTAATATCCGTTACATGCCGAGTTGACGTTAACGGAGCGCTAGGCTCAATGTTAGCTTCCGTTTTTGGTTTAATTAGCTAGCTTAAGTGTTTCTGTCGCCCAACCGTTAACTTGCAGTTCGCAAACCGATACAACGACAGCAAGTAACGACATCCGATTAGCGCCAGTCACCTGCATCCGTGTTCTGAATGTTTAAAATATGTGACATGTTCACCTGACGGAACGTTATGTTGTTAGCACGTTAGCGCAAAGCTAGCTGACGTTCCGCTGGCTTGCTATCACAACAAGCGGGACCGTGAAGGAATCCACAGTAACGCGATTTGCTAAAATTATTTAATATTATTAAAAGTATGGTGCAGATTATTTTTGAAGTTAAATCAAGAGACTGCATTTCATAGGCACGCTGAAGTACGTATTCGTTTACGTGGTTCCTAATCATTGAATTCACAGCTGAATTAATCTCGTTTACCACGTCACGTAACAGATGTTACTGCTTTTGGTTGTATTTCTAAATCCTCTGCTGACTTTTGGTCTCCAGCTGGACGGTACTTAACACATTAAAACAGGCCTTGTTGCTCTACTTCCACGAAATCACTGATGCAACACAAGAAAACCGAAACTGGTAATGTGGTGTATGGTAGCAGCCGTTGTAACGGGTGAATAGTCTCACGTGATAGTCTGTTGTTTTCCCTTTACTTGTTACCTTTGGGACCGATTATAAAAAGTTACAATGTTGCCTATCATTTATATGCAGATGATATCCAACTCCATCTGTCATTCAAACCCAGCGAGGCCTTCACATTAACTAGGCTCCTGGACTGTGTCAATGCCATCAGAGACTGGACGGCAGAAAACTGCTTACAACTTAACGACAATAAGACGGAGGTTCTAGTTATTGCACCGGATGAGTTTGTCCCTATGATCAGGCAGGTCCACTCTCCTCTGCTGCCCATGGCAACCTGCGCAATCTAGGGATTTTCTTTGATCGATCCATGTCGTTTGACCCCCATGTTAAGCAGCTGTCCAGATCATGTTTCTTCCACCTAAGAAATATCAGTAAACTGAGACCTGTAGTATCAACACCTGAACTAGAGCTGATCATACACACATTTATCTCTTCACGCATTGACTACTGTAACACACTTTTCTCATCACTCAGTGTATCTGCTCTTAACCGCTTGCAGGTCATCCAAAACGCTGCCGCCAGATTACTCACCAGGACAAATCGACGGTCTCGCATCACCCCCGTACTCCGATCTCTTCACTGGCTCCCTGTAGCATTTAGGATACACTTTAAAATTCTCACTTACAGAGCACTACACGGTCAGGCTCTAGCTGATCTGCTTCACCCCTATTCACCCGCCCCCACTCTCAGGTCAGACGTTTTAGGTCTTCTGTCTGTCCCACGCGCTCGCCTTAAGACCCGTGGTGACCGAGCTTTTGAGGCAGTAGCACCGAGGCTGTGGAATGCTCTGCCTGCACCTCTACGCCTCGCAGATTCTATGAACACATTCAGAAATCAGCTCAAAACTCACCTCTTTAGACTGGCGTTTGGGTAAAACCCATGTCCTAGACCTGCTTTTAAACCATGTTTTAATTTTGTATTTTTTCTGTGTATGTAAATTATTGGCCCTATGGTCACATTGTGTTTTTTATCTTTGTAATTTTTGCCCTGTTAAGCACTTTGTGACTTTTGTCTGTGAAAAGCGCTTTATAAATAAATTTTACTTACTTACGTGTGTGCTGGTATAATAACGTAAACATGTTCATTGGATTAAAAACCCAAGAATACGTCTTCAAGTAATAATTTTTGGTAATATTTCCTCGGTGTTTGTTACCTTGGGTTGAAACCACTTAAGGGTACAATATGGAATACATATGTTGCATTAATGACAGTGTAATGTTAAGCCTTCTCGGGTAACGTTAGGTTACAACAGTTTGAAAGAAAACAAAGACTCCTGCACACTGTTCATCATTATTAATAACGTTTTGGTTCTCAGACTTTTATCAGGAAAAGTTAATATATATATATTTAAAAAGTCAAGAGTTTTTGATCCAATGCACCAGGCAGACTTCATGGTAGTAGCCAAGTCGGTCTGTACTGGTTTAGGGTTGTACAGGTTTATGTTTTCTTCCCATAAATAACCAGAATTAAATCACAACAGACATTCTTATACTTCCCCAACTCTCTCCTCCTTGAATTTGTATGAGCACATAAACTGTTTAACACAAGCAGCCTGCCCACTACACTTCTCTGCAGTTAAACCGGCCCTACATCAAAAAGTTTAATTCATTTATAAACTTCTGGACATCCCGCATGACGATAAAGTAACTTTGACAAAAAAAGGGAGATAAATTGCTCACTGTAATGTCGACCGTGCCTCTGCAAGTTGGCTTCCCCACAATGTTAACATGAACTGAAACCAAGGGCTGAATGTAAAGGAGGAGTTCAATCTAAAACATATTCCAAACGATTGTTGAATAAAAGGATTTAAGTGTTGTGCTAAGAGTACAAAGTTCTTCCTTCCTCTCCTCAGGTAGTCAATCTGTTGATGGGCATCCTGCTGACTGTCGCTGTGACCCACCCAGAGAACGTGCCCACCATTGACTTGCAGTATGAGGTCATCGACCATTACTTTGCCTCCGACAGGATGTCTGGTAAGCAGCGGAACCTACATGAGAATTACTGTTATGGCAAACAAACTGCATTTTAAAAACACGTAGGTTTACTTTTGAGTTTACGACACATTTACACATCAAGCCTTCTTAATTCCTCTGTGTCCAAGTGAAGATGGCCCACTGAAACTTTACCAAACGAACATCGTCTGCACTGGATTTAGAAGTTCACAGACGAGCTGCTGTCATGCTGAGGTTGAACATGTGATTCATCTTCCACAGGGAGCACAACTCCCCACTGACTGCAAAGCAGAATGACACACGAGGACAACAGCACTGCTGTGCTATGTACATGTAACTGAATGTTATTAGTGTCACTGGTGTCGTTCCTTAGTGTTTCCTCAAGGGTCCATGTTGATCCTCGGTGTTTGTATTTATATGTGAAGGGCAGGGCTGGAGGGGACACCAGAGTGCCCCCACACACACACACACACACACACACACACACACACACACAGCAGGCAGAGGAGGTTGTCCACAGACGCAGAGGCAATGTGAACATATTAGTGCAGCGTCATCAGGCGGCACTCGTTTTTATTCAAGGCCATGTTTAGAAGTTATTTAAGTAATATAAAGATGACGTGGTCTATTATAGTAAACTACAAAATTCCACATATACTCTCTGGTGGCAGCTTCTCCAATTTTGTGCTCCTTTTTATCTTAAGTGAAAATAGACTGAATATATTTTGGTTCAGACACCTTGAAGATGTCACATGTGGTTTAAGAAGAGTGTGATTGTAATGAGGCAATACTTTCACAATTTTCTGACATTTGACAGCCCAAACTAGGCTTATGTGAGAAATGAATCAGCAGAGCTTAAGCCTATGTGAATTTTGTTTTCTATAACTTTAATACAAGCGCCAGAGATTCCTCTTGACAGTTTCATACTTTGATGTTCAAGTTGTTCAGTTTGAGCTGCTAAATAAACAAAGAAATCTCATCGGGGCCGCGGTGCTGCTGTAGCTTTCTCACCAGCATCCTTTTTTTCCCTAGCCCAACAGGCAGAGGAGTTTGAGGAAGGAGAGACTGAGTGATGGAGAGAAAAGAGGATATGAAAGGCCGGCCTTTTAATTATCCCAGGCTGAGTTTCATTGTGTATTTACAGATACAGCTGAGAGGGAGAGAGGCTTAATGCTCCCCAGAGCGACCCTTTAAAACCGAGTTAGCGGGAAGGAGAGAAGCCCTGGAGACGGTTCTCTTACACTGAATGCAAATCACTTCTAGAGAGCAAGCGACTATACACCCGCACTCAAGGATGTATACATTAATGATCTAAGGCCAAAGCTAAAATTGTGTTTAATCATTTGGTGGATTTATGTATTTATTCTCACTTTTTCCTCACACAGAGAATGCCTGTGTTGGCTTCGCCATCTCTCTGCTGATGCTCACCATCAGTGCCATGATGGTGTACGGAGCCATTACTGTAAGTCTTCAGTTCTCTTTTGACAGCGTGCATTTCATTTTAAAGCACTGCCGGGGTTTCTTGTGCTAATATGTGATCCCAGAATGTGCATGCAAAAAGAAAACGCATTGCTTTCAAGTTGTATATTAATAGCACCAGAGTTCAGAGGTAAGTAAGACATGCTGTGGTTGTTGAAAAGAATCCTGACGCAGTGGGAGTGTAGCGCACAATGTTGTGTTCTCACTGCTTGTCATCTTTACCTCACAGGCCGGCCCGGTGGCATCAAGACGGACAGGTTTGATAGCCTTTTGACGTGGCCCTGTGTTAAGCTGCTAGTCGGGATGACTGCACGGTTAAAGTGTGACGCACATCGACAGGCTCGGCGCTCTGTTCGTGCCAGCAGTCTGTGCAAGAGTTACGCTTTAGCCGTGCAAATACTTTCCCCCAGACAACAGTAGTAGAAACCCTGTTCTGGGTCCAGTGTGGCGATGCAGAGCTGTAGTGTCCCAATTAAATCCCCTAAATGTTTGATCATGATCTGCCAACGATATTCAGCACTTTGCTGCATAATGAAGTGACGTAGGAGTTTACAGTTGTTTTTTTGTTTTTTTTCATAGAAAACACCCAGAATGCCTGTAGAGATTCTTGTATAGTAGCCCAGTCAGAGGACCACTTTGCTGATTTTCAACCTTCTCTATGTATTTGTTCCAGTAAGATGTGATAATATACACAGTTACAATGTCAGCACTCCCTGTCTCTGTCAGGCAGGCTCTTTTCATTTACCCCCAAACCACATCTGATGACGCAGCCGCAGCCCAAAGGAAAAATGCTGTCGGTCCAGGAAACTCTTTGATTTATGCCAAGAAAACCAATGTTGGTATCGGAATTAGAACAGACTTAGAAATAGGGATGCACCGATGGCCGATTTAGCTGTTTGAGTCGGTATTGGACCGATATCGGTATTGGTGCATCTCTACTTTAAGACATTGAAAACTGTCGTGTTTCATTTTGCTGCTCAGGCTGTAAATGAATCCTCAACTGTAGAGTTTACAGAGCCTACCTCCTGGATACAGATATGTTTTAAAGGTCATCTAAGACAAGGGTATATGGATATAAGGTTGGGAAAAATGCAACATGGTCCCTGTACATGTTGACCTCAAGCACAATCTGCCGAATTGATGACGTGGTTCATAACATGATTTGTTTTTTTTTCCTCAGCATCGTGACGGCTGGCTCATCCCATTTTTCTGCTATCAGCTGTTTGACTTTGCTCTGAGCTGCCTGGTGGCCATCAGTTCTCTCACCTACCTACCCAGGATCAAGGACTACCTGGACCAGCTGGTTAGTGCTACCAGACTGACTAGTCCCACCAGACTCACTAGTCCCACTAGCCCACACAGTTTGATCCTGTTGACATTATGAATCACTCGCACTACCTCCTCGTCAGTATCCTTTAGGCGGATACTGACAACAAAAGACAATGTTTAGAACTAAGCCTCATTGTTCTCATTTTTACCAAAAATAAATTCCCACATATATAATGTTTCTGTCTGAACAGCCTCAAGATTTGTTAGCGTTACCTTTTTGTTATTGATTGCGTTGAGGCGTTGAAGGTGATGTGAGTGGATTAAGTTGATTATCTGACGTGTGTTCTCGTCTTCCTCAGCCGGATTTCCCGTACAAGGACAACCTCCTCTCTATGGACTCCAGCTGCCTGCTGCTCTTTGTGTTGGTCTTCTTTGCCTTCCTCATCATCCTCAAGGTGACATTATTACAGTTAAATGTGCTTTATTGAGTGTGTTGGTTCATTTGATTCACATCATTGTTAAGTGAACTAATATGAAAATGAATCTTATGCGGTGAGATGAGAAAACTGATATTCAGAAAAGGGGAGAGTGAAGGACGCGTTCACACAGCTAGCACAGCTAGCACAGCTCTGTCCTGTTTAAAGTAAAGAGTCGTTAACGAGGCTGTTGAGTCAGACAGCCTGATTTTAAACCATCAAATTCAAAATGCGGTCTTGTATTTGCTTTCCAGTCTTACCTGATCAACTGTGTGTGGAACTGCTACAAGTACATCAACAACAGGAACATGCCAGAGATCGCTGTCTACCCGGCCTTTGAAACCCCTCCCCAGGTATGCAAGCTGCTGGTATCTCCTGTCTTAAAAACACACTTGACGGTATCAGATACAGCGATATGTACTGCTCACGATACACCAGCAGGTGTCATGCCATCACCACAGTGACGGTCTGAGAAGCTAGAAGAGGACAGCGGTGTCTGTTCGTAAGAGGTTACCATGTCAGGGAGAAAAAAAACATAAATTGGCAGCTACGTTTAGAAATGTTTATAATGCAGAATTTAAAGCTCGTCATCTCCAGTTAAAAAAAAAATTGTCTCGGACTCGAAGGCTGCACTCATGATGTGACACGAGACATGATGTGACATGTCGTCTTATCACACAGCTGCCTCCATAGTATCTGTATCGGCCTTCAAGTTGTCTTATGTTTGTTTTTCTTTTATTCTTTTCCAGTACATCCTGCCCACTTATGAGATGGCAATGAAGATGCCAGAGAAGGAGCCCCCTCCCCCTTACATGCCTGCTTAAGCACCAGCCCCGTTGCCAAAATACACACACACACACACACACACACACACACACACACACACACACACACCACCACCA